TTCATTATGTGAACAATGTTACCCCAGATAGTTATGCCATGGAGCCCATTCATATACCGAAATACTGTATGAAAGACTTTGGCTCCATGGCGATTGAACTATGTGTATGTGATCTGAGCGCCATTCGGTAATAATGTGCGCTCAGATCTAAGCTATCTGGGGATATGTTGAATGTATATGTTTTGTGTAATATTTGCAACATTGTATATTTTTCTATGTATTTGGTAACATGTGCTTAATGGACTTTGCCTCTGTCCTTGGAGATAATTGGATTACTTCCCAATTATCTCCAGGACAGAGAGGAGGTATTGCAGTGCATTGTGGGATTTGTTTAAATGTGTAAACTTGTGATTGGTCCTTTTACCCTTTGTCTCTCAGTTTCCATCTGGTCCCCTAGGGGAGTGTCCACCAGGTGGGAGACCTGCATAAAAGCCGGGCAGGTAGCCCCAGTAAATTAGTTCTGCTTGATCCTCAAATGAAGTGTTGTCTCGTTCTTGGGGGGAATTGGATTGTATGCTTTTACAGTGCGACTGTCAGGAGTGTAAGCTGTTCGTATGGTTTTTCCTGTTCGGCTGTTTAACAGCATTCGTGTGTTTCCTGTTCGGGAGTTGGAGAATTCATATGGTTCCAGTTCGGGAGTTGGAGAATTTGTGTGTTTGCAGTTCGGGAGATTGGTGATTGCAGTAGCTGCCTGTGCATCTGGAAGGGGAATATCGCCTAAACGTTTTTTAACCCCTTTTATGCGGAACGGTCCGTTACACTATGGACCAATTACATGGTCTGACCATGCACCCCTGTCTCTTGCCGTTACTGTCCCATCCCTACTCATGAGGTCAGCTCAATGGACGTTAAATGACCTGCTCCTAAACAACTCTGACACTCTTGCCCGACTCAGGGAAACTCTCAACCTCTACTTTGCAGAAAACTCTGCCTCCACGACATCTCCTACGGTGACATGGAAAGCCCACAAATGTGTGATATGTGGGGTCCTGATTGCCATAGCATCCCCCCAAAAAAAGCAAAGAAGAAAAGCAGAAGCAAAAAATTCTCTCTCTATGATCAGGGACCTCGAAAATAAACACCAAGCCACGCTATCACTATCAGACTAAAACAATCTGATAAACGTGAGATCCAAACTACAAGTTCTGCTAAATG